CACATCTTGTGCAATCGCCCTCAGTTACACACACAATACACACATATGGTTCATGGTTTCCTCCGGGTGCTCCGGTTTCCCGCACAGTCCACACGCATGCGCTATAGGGCAACTGATGAACTGAATTGGCTGTAGTGTATGAGTGTGTGTGGGAATGAGTGTGTTTGGGGGTTTCCCAGTACTGGGTTGCAGCTGGAAGGGTTGCATAAAACACATGCTGGAATAGTTGGCGGTTCATTCTGCTGTGGGACCCCTGATGAATAAGGGACTAAGCCCAAAGCAACGGAATGAACGAGCCTTTAAATGTCCATTTACACTGAATACTAGTATCTTGAAGAACATCTAGTCTAATAATATGTGCTGTCATCATGGCAAAGAGAAAAGAAATAGCTTTTAATAACTCATTTCTAATAACTATTATGTGTAGAAATGTGCTGAATTAAATCGTCTCTCTGTTAAACAGAAATTTGGGGGAAATACACAGGAGGGCAAAAAATTCAACTGTATATGGGACCCCAAATAAAGGTCAGACTGTCAGTGTGTAAATCTGACACAGATCTATACAGAAGCTACAGGAGACTTGTTTTAGATGTCCAGGATAACAGAGTGTTTTCGGGAGTCGACAGCTCCATCTCTCCTGCACTTTAGTCTTGTAGATTCACAAACAGCCGGATAGAGAGGTAAACGCAGCAGAAGAAGCACCAATTGTCAAATACTATTCCTTAGAGGCTTTGATGAAAGCCAGAGGAGCTCAGCTGTAGTGCAGGTGTGTGTGTGTGTGTGTGTGTGTTCACTGCAGGACTGAGGAGTTAATGAGGGAAAAGCCCAGAGCAACACTTGACTGTGGAGGAAGAGCAGCTGTCAATCACTGACTAAAGGAGATGTGGACACACTACAGGGAGTGCAGGAGAAACAACCGCGCACACACACACACACACACACACACACACACACACACACGCACACACACACACACACACACACACACACACACACACACACACACACACACACACACACACACACACACACACAAAGTATACACACACTAACACACACACGCATAAATATGCACATAAACACACGATTAAACTAAGAAAAGCTGAAGAATCAGATGTACATCAGTGTTCTCAGCCTCTAAACTGAGCTCAGGTTCATTCTGTTTCCTCTGGTCATTCTTGAGATGTTTCAGCAGCTTCATTGGAGTTCACCTGAGGTCAATTCAGCTGATTGGACATGATCTGAAAAGGCTACACCTGTCTATATAAGAGCCCAGGGTTGACAGTGCATGTCAAAGCACAAACCAAGCATGAAGACAAAGGAATTGTCTGTAGATCTCCAAGACAGGATTGTCTTGAGGCACAAGGCTGGGGAAGCTTACAGAAACATTTCTGCTGCTCTGAAAGTTCCACTGAGCACATCGGCCTCCATGGAAGATGTTTAACCACCAGGACTCTTCCTAGGGCTGGCCGGCCATCTAAGCTGAGCGATCAGGGGAGAAGGGCCTTAGTCAGGGAGGTGATCAATAACCTGATGGTCACTCTGTCTGAGCTCCAGCGTTCTTCTGTGGAGAGAGGAGAACCTTACATCTGTGTAGCAATCCACCATCAGGCCTGTATGGTAGAGTTCCCCACTCCCCGACTGGAATTTGCCAAAAGGCATCTGAAGGACTCTCAGACTATCAGAAACTAAATCCTCTGTTCTGATGAGACTCAAATTCATCTCTCTGGAGTGAACGTCAGACGTTACGTTTGGAGAAAAGCAGGCAGCGTTCATCACCAGGCTAACACTATCTCTAAAGTGAAGCATGGTGGTGTTGGCATCATGCTGTGGGGATGTGTTTCAGCAGCAGGAACTGGAAGACTAGTCAGGATAGAGGGAAAGATGAATGCAGCAATGTACAGAGGCATCCTGAATGAAGACCTGCACAAGAGTGCTCTTGACCTTAGACAGGGGCGACGGTTCGTCTTCCAGCAGGACAATGACCCAAAGCACACCGCCAAAATATCAATGGAGTGGCTTCACAACAACAGCTCAGTGAATGTCCTTAAGTGGCCCAGCCAGAGCCCTGACCTAAATCCTATTGAACATCTCTGGGGAGATCTGAAAATGGCTGTACACCGGCGTTTCCCATCCAACCTGATAGAGCTTGAGAGGTACTGCACAGAGGAATGGGCAGAAATTCCCAAAGACAGGTGTGCAGAGCTGGTGGCATCATATTCAGAAAGACTTGAGGCTGTAATCGCTGCCGAAGGTGCATCAACAAAGTATTGAGCAAAGGCTGAGAACACTGATGTACATCTGATCCTTCAGCTTTTTTATTTTTAATAAATCTGCAACAATTTCAAAAACTGTTTTTCCACATTGTCATTATGAGGGATTGTGTGTAGAATGTTGAGGAAATAAATCAGTTTAATCCTTTTTGGAATATATATATAATTTTTAAAAATAATATAATAAATATTTGTAATAGCGAGAAAATGCTCTTTTTTCAGCTTGAACATGCCAAAGCAGTGTAAATAAGCAGATGTGTGCAGCATTAGGTGAAGAACTCAGTCAGATGGAGAGCTTTCAGACACACACTCACCTTGTTTTCTCCTTCAATCACTATAATGGGCACTGCAGTGGCCGGCCAGCGCTGTTTGGCAGGTAAAGGCTTGTCACAGTTCCACAACACAATAATCTGAAAACACACACACACACACACACACACACACACACACACACACACACACACACACAACAGTGATCAGACATTTGCAAAACAATTAAAGGGCATCTATTATGCAATAATCACTTTTATAAGGGGTTTAAACCCAGTTGTGTGGCAGCAGTGTGTGAATATAACCAGCATTCAATGGCAAAACAAATTCATTTCATACTTTTATAATCAGACTTGATAAAAACAGTCCGCAGAAACACTTTGATTGACATTCACTCTGTGTACGTGTCATCAGAGGGGGATAGCCCCGCCCACTAGTGCATCTGTATAGAGATCTGTAGCTCCGCCTTCTTTTGAAAAGAGCTCAATCTCATTTGAATTTAAAGCGACAGTCACCAAAACACCACACTTAGGATTAAACCCTAGGGTCAGTTTCAGAGAGTTATTAAACATTATCTGTGTGGTATTTTGAGCTGAAACTTCACTACACACACTCTGGAGACATCAGAGATGCATTTTATATTTTGTAAAAATCTTTTGTTACTGAGGTCTCAAAGGTGGAAGCTCCAAACACAAACATTATAATTCTTTTTTACATACATCACAAGTGATGTTTCTTATTTAATTAATTAATTATTTTTATTTTACTTACAAGCACTCTATACTCTTTAGTCTATAGTAAAATACTGATAAAAAATTATGTATTATTTATTATTATATACTAAAAATTATTGTTTAAATGGAATGATTTTTCCCGACATTTTTAAACAAGCTAATTTTAGTGACGTTGTCTTGAAATCTACTAATGTTTTAACTTAACTTTTTAACAAATACAAATCTTGCATTAAATAAAAAAGCATGTTATTCTGACCAGCTTTAATTTTGAAATAAACAAATATGTTTAGAGAATTTAATGTAACATAATACAAAATATTCAGTCATTTATTAATTTTTGGCATTGTCCTTTTATATATCAGGGGTCACCACAGTGAAATGAGCCGCCAAATTATCCAGTACATGTTTTACACAGTGGATGCCCTTCCAGCTGCAATCCAGTGCTGGAAAACACCCATATACCATTCACACACACACACACACACACGGGCCAATTTAGTTAATCAATTCCCCTATAGCGCATGTGCTTGGACTGAGGAGGAAACCGGAGCACCTGGAGGAAACCCATGCCAACACGGGGAGAACATGCAAACTCCACAGTAATGCCAACTGACCCAGCCAGGAGTCAAACCAGCAACCTTCTTGCTGTGAGGCCACAGTACTAACCACTGAGCCACCATGCCACCAATAAAAAAAACAATGTAATTTAAAATAAGTAAATACACAAAATCCCAACTTATTCTGACCCTTCTATATACAATAAATAAATAAATAACAAAATAAACAAATAAATCAAATGTATTTGAAATTTGGAAGACCTTCATAGAATTAAATATTAACAATTTACTCGATCTCATACCCAATAAACCCATTTATTTATTAAAATGAGAATATTTCAGCATTTTCTGAGTTTCTCTCATCACCACATTAGCTAAGACACACCGTTTGTCCTTAAGAAACTGCAAAAACAGCTTAATTTCCACCAGTTTGTTGAGTAAAGCACAGTTCTGTCGTCCCTGCTGTAATGAAGAGCGACTGTGAAACGCACTGAAGCATTAAAGCTGTAATAAAACACATTCATACACACTGAGCCAGTCCATCCGCTTTACACAGATTAAACAATACAGATCTGCTCCATATCATCATTAAAGGCACCGTAATAACGGGAGATCACTGGGCTTTCTTTCTGTCGAGTTCACACACACACACACACACACACACACACACACACACACCGCTGCTTTCAGCTGGAGTGTTTAATGTCCTGAATCTGACAGCGATACAGAAATTCTGCGTCGCTTTCAATTTACAGCTCGTCTCCGCCGCCGGCTTCACACACTCATTCTGTTTTGTCACTTTCAAGTGTCTTTGAGTGATTTACACCTGCAGCTCTGCTTTTACACACGCATGTGCATGCACACACACACAAAACACTTCATCTGGAGATTCTGAAAAGGAGTGTGTTTGTGTATTGTTGGCCTGTGTGTGTGTGTATAAAACAGAACAAAATAAAAAAAAATAATTTAAATAAAAAATAAACAGAAATTCAGAGAAACTGAGAGAGTTCCAGTGGTCTCATAATATTCTCTATATATCCATCTAGTTTGGTGCATTTGATTGGTGGCATTATCTGCAGTTGTGCAGGTATGAAGGACGAAACCTGCAAAAACAATGAATAAATATGCAAATATATCAATAAAATGTATATAAAAATTCACAAATTCCTGCATAAATAAATAAATAAATAAGTAATTGATAGTGCGGGCAGGTAAATAATTCAATAAGTTTAAAAAATATTGGGGCAATAAAAAAAGCTAGTTGTGTTGTTGGATATTTACTTTTCCTCAGGTCAACATGAGTGTGTCTGATCAATCATCAAGATGCGGTCTTTATGCCATCATTGGTGGATTATTAGAAAAAAAAAGCATTGTTTTTTTTGACTGGCTTCTGATGATTGACTGACAGTCTCTTATCAGCATGTTGACCTGAAGAAATGTAAATATGCAACTACAATCAAGTATGAATGAAAAAAAAAAAAAAAAAAAACAAGGAAGGGGGGATGGGGTAAAATTTTAGTTTAGCATTTTCTTTTTGCCCCAACATTTGTGTACTTTAGTTATTTACCTGCCCGCACTATTGATTATTTATATTATTTAATTATGCTGGAATTTATTTACTAATTTATTTATATATTTGCATATTTATTTATTTATTATTTTATTTATGCAGGAATTTAGGGATTTATTTACTCAACTAACTTTTTTTCGCAAATTTATCTTTTTATTTATGCAATAAATTATGGATTTATTTACTCATTTATTTCTTTATTTGCATATTTCTTTATTTTTTAATCATGCAATAATTTATGGATTTATTTACTCATTTATTTATCTATTTGCATATTTCTTTATTTTTTAATCATGCAATAATTTATGGATTTATTTACTCATTTATCTATTTGCATATTTATTTATTTATTATTTTATGCAGGAATTTATGGAATTATTTACCAATTTATTAGCATATTTGTTTATTATTTTATTTATGCTGGGATTTATGGATTTATTGACTCATTTATCTACTTGCACATTTATTTATTATTTTATGAAGGAATGGTTTTATTTACCAATTTCTTTGCATAGTTATTTATTAATTGTTTTATTTATGCAGAAATTTATGGATATTTTTTACTCATTTATTTATTTGCATATTTATTTCTTTGTTATTTTATTCATGCAGAAATTTATGGATTTTTTAACTTGTTTATTTATATATTTGCATATCTATTTGTTTATTGTTTTTTACAGGTTTCGTCCTTCATATGGAGGCTTTCACATCATTTTTACTCGCACTAAAAAAATACTTTATTAACGCACTTGAAAGAGCACTGCTGCTATGAACAGCTATTGAGCCTTTTACTTAAGCGCATCTTTCATTTCATTAACTCCCAATAGCTCCCAACTCAAAAAAGAGAAGCAGACACCAGAAGAGAATAAATGAAAGCTGCTCTGTCTAATGATATTACATGCAGGAGGATCAGCAGGCCTCTTCAAACTCACACTATCCCATAATCTATAATAAGATCAGAGACATAATTAAACTACTTCAACTCTTAGAAACAAAACAAAGCCTGAAGCTTGATTCTTCTGATATTGCTAACGGTGCTCATGGATGAGCGAGACAAAGATGCTAAAACATGTTGACAGACTCGCTGCTAGTGTGAAGAGGGTAAAGCACGGTCAACTTGCTGTGCAACGTTTATTATGGGAGAGAAAGAGAATTTAGTCATTTAGATGAAGATCATTTAGCTTTTTTTAAATAATAATAATAACAAACAATAACATTCTAATAATAACAATATTAATAATAAAATATTAGTAGTATTATTGGTATTCATTTTTAGTATTATGTTATTTAATATTTATTATTTATATCATTATTATTAATAATAGCATTAATAACAACAACAACAGCAGCAGCAGCAGCAGCAATATTATCAATAATATTATTAATAATAAGAGTATTATTATTATTAATTATAATAATGATCATACATATAAAATAACCACAATAAATTAGCAATGTAATAATAATAAAAAAAAAATAGTAGCATTATTAGTATTAAAAAAGCAATAACAAATACTTAAAATATTTATTATTATTATTAATAATAATAATTGCAATAATAACAACAACAACAACAACAGCAATGTTATCAATAGTAATAGTAATAATAATAAAAATAGTAATAACAATAAGTGTGAGTATTATTATTAATTATTATTATGAATAATAACAATGATCATACATATAAAATAGATAACCACAATAAACAATATAATAATAATAATAAAATCTTAGTAGTATCATTAGTATTCATTATTAGTATTAAAAATTAAATTAATAACACTAAATTTAAAATGAATAATAACACTAACAATAATAATAGCATTAAAAATAATAACACTGGGCAATATCGTGGAGCAGTGGGTAGCGCTTTTGCCTTAAAGCAAAAAGGTCAATGGTTCGAGCCCCAGCTGAGTCAGTTGGCATTTTTGCATGTTCTGCATCTTTCCTGTAAGTATAAATAAATGAATGAATGAATAATAATAATAGCAATATTATCAATAACATTAATAATAAGTATTATAATTATTCATTATTAGTATTAATAATAATAATAACAATAATAATTAATATAAAAATATAAATAAAAAGTAATAATAATGAAAAACAATTATTAGTATTATATATTAGTAGTATTTGTTGTTATTATTATTAATAATAGCAATAACAATAACAAACAATAATAACAATGACATTATTAGTAGTAATTTAATAACACTAATAATAATAATAATATATTAGTAGTAATAATAGTATTCACTATTAGTAATAATAATAATAATAATAATAGCAAAAAAAAGATGATCATAACAATAAAATAATAATAATGATAATAGCATTGTTATTAATAATAAAACTAATAATAACAAAAACAACAATAAAAAAATATGAAAAGGCCTGAAAAAAGTCTTTCTATAAACAAGCTCACCTTTCAACTTTAAGCTATCTTCAAAGTCAGTTAAACTGCACCAGGCAAGCGTGTCGCACGCTGCATCATTCACACCACCAAGTTTGCATTGACTTTGTAAGCCTCTGTATGTAATTCCCCTCATGAATTCTGCCATTTGGAGTGCATCACATGCTCTTGCCTGCTACATTAAATGACACGGCGGGTCAAATTCTGCACATGCCTAATTTTCCCAGGTATTATTAAGCATCATTATCTGTGATGCAGAACGCAGATGAGATCAAGATCAGCTTGAGGAAGTTCAGCCTCTCATTCATTCATTCAGCAGCCCGCCAGAATCTGCTCCGAAGACTCCGCCAATCGCTGTGTTCATTTATATCCTCCATCGCTCAGTGAACAGACTCGCAATGATGAAGCGTAGCTGAAGGGCCGAGATCTGCTATTCCCATCCCTGCACTTCAGCTGGAGGAGGAGACGACGCTCAACTCAAGAAACAAAAGCCAAACGCTCAGCAGTCGAGTCTCTTCAAGACCTCCCATTGACAACTGAGGAGACGCTCGGAGAAATGAGCCAGTGTGTGCATGTGTGTGTGTGCATAAATGGTTTATTCTGCAATAACAACCAGCTGGATGTACATTATACTGATTATTACACGACTACATGCCACAAAATTTAACTATTTTGAGACAAAACATTGATGTGGGCTGCAATCATTTACTAGCTATACGCACACAAACACACACACAGACATACATACACACTATCTTATAACTTAAATGTATAAAAACATAAAACCACAGCGGTGCTGCTATAGCCAAAACATTTGCTCACTCATGCCAATGCCAACGTCAGTTTCAATGGTGCCAGCAGTGAAGATCTTGGGCTGTGGACAATCTGAAACATGCATTGATCTCCACCTTCACTGTCTTTCCCATATCCAGAACAGTTATGGTGTGAAGTTCTTTATTAGTATTAATAATAATAATAATAATAATAATAATAATAATAACAATAATAATTTATATAAAATATTAAAATAAAGTAATAACAATAAAAAACAATTATTAGTATAATATATTAGTAATATTCATTATTATTATTAATAATAGCAATAACAATAAAAATTTATAATAATAACAATGACATTATAAGTAGTAATTTAATAACACTAATAATAATAATAATAATAATAATAATAATAATAATAATAATAATATTAGTAGTAATATTAGTATACACAATTAGTATTATTAATAATAATAATAACAACAACAAATAATAATAATAGTAATAGCAATAATGATGATCATAACAATAAAATAATAATAATGATAATAGCATTTTTATTAATAATAAAACTAATAATAACAAACACAACAATAAAAAATATGAAAAGGCCTGAAAAAAGTCAATGGTGCCAGCAGCGAAAATCTTGGGCTGTGGACAATGTGGAACATGTATTGATCTCCACCATCACTGTCTTTCCCACATCCAGGAGAGTTATGGTGTGGAGAAGTTCATTATTAGTATTATTAATAATAATAATAATAATAATAATAATAATAACAACAATAATAATTAATATAAAATATTAATATAAAGTAATAACAATAAAAACAATTATTAGTATTATATATTAGTACTATTCATTATTATTATTAATAATAGCAATAACAATAAAAATAAATATCAATAATAATAACAATGACATTATTAGTAGTAATTTAATAACACTAATAATAATAATAGCAATAATGATGATCATAACAATAAAATAATAATAATGATAATAGCATTATTATTAATAATAAAACTAATAATAATAAAAACAAAAAATTAAAAGGTGGGGGTTGAATCATGACATTCCCTCACCTATTACTGGTGCTAGATGGGCTGCTGAACAATTCTGGAGGACCATGTGACCCAATGGGTCAAACATTGTATCCTGAAGGCAGGGGCGTGTATCAGGATGATAATGCAGCAATACACACAGCAGGACTGGAGACAGAGTGGTTTGATGAACATGAAAGTGAAGTTGAACATCTCCAATGGCCTGCACAGTACCCTAACCTAAACATTATTGAGTACTTTGGAGTTGTTTTGGAGGAGCGACTCAGGTTTGAACTGGTTTGACCTGAAAGCTATTCTGTTCAAAATCCCTCTGTCCACTGTGCAGGACTTGTATCTGTCATTCCCAAGATGAACAGATGCTGTATTGGCTGTAAAAGGAGGCCCTACACCATCCTAATGAATTATTGTAATCTAAAACCAGGCCTGGTGTTTTCAGAAGATTCAGAATTGAAGCAGAAGTTACTCCTGTTTAATAAATATAAAATCAAAATATTTAAATAAGAAAATAAACTCTGATTAAACTGTAACCTCTTAAAAAAACTGATTTAATTCCCCAAATCATTACACAGTGTATTAAATCCGCTCATGCTCTCTCTCTCTCCACTGTATATTACACAGGAATCAATGGGTATGTGTGGGCAGGGTGGTATTAAACCCTTCAGTGGACCCTGACGCCAAGCAAATGCTCAGACTGTGGCTCTGGTTTGGTCCCCGAGGCTTCAGTTTGGTGTAAACTTCAGTCCAGATGAACCCAGAGCACTGAAAAGGCTTCTAACGTGAAGAGATCCACTCATCTTCAAGAGCAAAACAACATGGCGCTGTGTGTCCTCATCGGGTCAGATTGCATAAACAAACTTCAGTTTCAGACATCAAACCGCCGAGAGTTCACCGAGAGAACATCCACAACACATCCTGATGCTTGTATCTGTGCTGGGTTCGAATGTTTTAATGCATTTTAAGTCTATTTAGATTTTTTTCTTATACTTATTTTGTGAATATTTAATTTATGTAAGGCACTTTAAAATTTCATTGTGTATGAAATGTTGTGCTGTAGAAATAAACTTGCCTTACCTATGTTTAATATGATTTTGGTTCCACACATGTAGAGCCCATATGATATCAAACTTAGTACTGACATATTAATTATCAATACATTATATTGCATTATTAGAGTTTGATCAGAGTGAATTGCAGATCTTGTGCAAACATGTGTTCAGTATGTCACTATGATCAGATGTTTTCTGTGTTATTGAGAGGAAAGTGCGCACATATATACAGTTGAAGGCAGAATTTTTCACCCCCTTTTGATTTCCTTTTTTTTTTTTTTACTTTTTTAAATATTTCCCAAATGATGTTTAACAGAGCAAGGAAACTTTCACAGTATGTCTGATAATATTTTTTCTTCTGGAGAAAATCGTATTTGTTTTATTTCGGCTAGAATAAAATCAGTTTTAAATTTTTTTAAAAGCCATTTTAGGGACAATATCATTAGCCCATTTCAGCTATTTTTTTTCTTCTTCCCGACAGTCTACAGAACAAACCATTGCTATACAATAACTTCCCTAATTATTCTAACCTGACTAGTTAACCTAATTAAGCCTTTAAATGTCACTTAATCAAGTGTCATATGTTGTACATTTCTCTAGTCTGGCTCACGGACTCAAACTGTTGTGAAATTCTAAGGCGAGCCCAAAAAAACAGGGAGAACTTTCGGTCTCTTTAAAGCAGAATCCTTTTAATAAGAAAGACTCAGCGACGCCGTGGCGTCATTGAAAGAAACCCATTAATTGGTACAACATTTCAGTTTTAAATGCATTTTGATACATGTAGGTGGGGAACAGTCATGGTGGGGACCAGTCTAAC